CGCCCCGCCCTGCATTATTTTTTTAGTTTTCAACCCGCCCCGCCCCGCTTAGACCCGCCTCGCCCTGCCCCACTTAATTTTTTTTTAATTTTTCCTTAATTGTTTTAGCCAAAATGACAGTACATTAAGACACAAGGCTAAAAGGCTAACCACAGTCAATGTCATGTCGATGTTCTTCAATTAATTAATGGCTAAAAGGCTTATACCAGTTTGAAGAAAGCTTACAAATAAATAAGTAAAAGATGGAATGAATAAATGCAAAAGAATATGAGAAATATTATGGTAAAAGATTTTTTTCAAAGTGCTGTGCAGAAAAATGGATATGCATATTAGAAAACATACACAAATTTAAGTGTAAACTGTTAATCTATACAGTAAAAAAGTGATAACTACGATTCAAGCAAACTCCTAATTTTTTTTTATAAAACTAAGACAAAATGCAAAATAAATAAAGTAAGAACGGGATCATTTCTAAATTCTAATCCAGGGTACTAAAATAAATCTAATCATGATCTGGAAATTCCAAACTGTATCTTAAATTCTTCAGTAGACCCACTTCGGCTTAATTTTGGTCCATCCACATTTTCATATTCTCTTTTAATTAATTGCGCCAAAAAAAAAAGGTCCAGCTCATAAAAGACCAAGTTATTCTAAGATGCCAAGTTAGGAATTAAGATTGATTTTATGATGAAATGGATAAATTCAATTCAAGTCAGCTTTTTTATTCAAATTAAAAGAATGTAAAATTGTAGTTGAAATAATTGCTTTGTTTTAAAAAAACTAAAATTCAAACTTGTCCCACATTAAACCCGCAACCCACCCAGCTGAAAAAATATTTAAATATGATTTAACCCGCCCTCGCCGCCCGCACCCGCATAAGAACTGTAAACCCACCCCGCCCCGCATAAAAAACAAAACCCACTCTGCCCCGCAATCGCCCCACCCGCCCTATTGTCATTCCTAAATTTTTGCTATTAAATATACTAATTACTTTTATTATGGTAGGGTCGGCCTACCTCCACCATTAAGGTGGCTTTGATTATTAAAAAGAAAAAAGGAAAAAAGAGAGAGAATTACAAACTAGATGTTTTAGGTGTTAGGAAAAGCTAAGCCATAGGTTATATGTTAAAATTTTTATTTGTATTATCTCTTTCATGCTACTTTAATATTAGAGACTTTTATACTTCTAATACTACTTAATACTCACAACATTTCCTTGAGAACCACTTATTTAGTTTTAAATTTGAATTTCTAGGTAGAACATTATTTTGTTAACACAAAAAGAGAATTATAAGGAGAGTAACATAACTACATAAGACCTTATCTTCCAACCGAGATGAAGAATGAACATGTCCATTCTTTTGTAACGACACAGATATATATAACGACACACAAGTACGGTTTGCGTACAGATTACCCATCCTAAACCTCACCTGTTGGGAATATACTGGGTATGGTGGTGTTGTTGTTGTTGTTTATATATATATATNGATGAGGGTGCATGTTTCTCCACGCAGACCAAATTAAGTAACTTGACTTAATCGGCTAGGCTTAAAACTTGCAATGAATTTAAAGTTCATACACTAATGGTATGAAAATTATTTGTATAATGAGGTCAGTGCTTAAGTAATTATATTCATTGGTTATCCGGTAAATTGGCAACTAACGTACTAACACATATTTAAATTCACTAATATATTAAAAAATATTACACTTCAAATAAATCTTAAATACACTTACATTAGTAGCTAATTGAGATATGGTGATCACTAAAAGGTCAGACCCAGCGCATGTTTCACAAATAAAATGACTAAGGCGAGTTATGGCATCTAGAAGACTAGATCGAATGGATTGAAATTCTTATTTGCCCAGAAATCGTTTTCAATAAATATTTTTAAATTTGCTATGAAAGTTATGGTTCTATATAGTATTCAATCATATACCAAAAAAAAAAAAAAAAA